GACAGCCTTTGCAGCTGTTGGCTTGTAGTTCTCAATGAACTACCTTGGCACTGTGAGCGCTGTGGTAGTACATTGAGTCTTCCTGTAAGAAGTATCAGCTTGCCTGTATGGGATGTACGAGCAAGAAGATAAACTGACAGATCTCCAGGAAACCTGCATGGCGGCAGCGATGTGCTGATCGCTGGTACAATGCTTTACAGGCTCCTACTGCAAAAAAATAATAAATACACATTTTTTTACCTGCATTTATTCTTTTTTGCAGAAAGGTGAACATATCCTTTTAAAGGTAATAATTTCTGTGTATGTATGTATATCTGTATACTGGCTACTTCTGTATATGTTTGTTTTTTTACTGTAGTCTTTCTGACCTTCCCACATATGGTCACATTCATAACCTCCAAAACCGTTATGACCGGACTTATTAAAACCAGTCATTTGGTAGAACTTGTTAAATCTAGTTGGAGCCCCCCTTTGATAACTTTTACATATATATAATAGAACAAAGAAGACCATTTCAGAGCCTCGTCTAGGACAGACTGGTGAATGTACCTAGAACCTTGTGAAGATTGTCCACTCCAGGACTTTCTGATGTTTGCAGAAGTTTAGGGGCTCCCTGGACTGAATTGAAGCTGTAATTATCCAATTTGTCATCTGTACTCCATCTTTAACCGAAGCTAAGTATAATTCTTTTATTACTATTACTTGTGTATTGTTTTAATTATTGCACTACAGCCACAAATCTGAAAGGGTAAACATATGAACCTGTCAATAAATAAAAAACTGTAACAAGGAATTTAAACCTTTGTTACAATTTGGAAGAAGAGGCTTTTCAGTTGGGGGATGGACAGCGAATTTATCAATGTAATGCTACAGAAAAGTAACATTATACTTTAAAGTGAAATATGAGCAAATAAAATTTGACCTACATGTTTTGTCTCTCAGTCGCATTAACCACTTGCCCTCCTGAGGATTTACCCCCCCCCCCCCCCCCCCCCCGACCAGGCCATTTTTTGTGTTACAGTGCTGCATTATTTTAACTGACAATTGCGCAGTCATGCAACGCTACACCCAAATTAAATTTACGTCCTTTTTTCCCCATGAGTTGAGCTTTCTTTTGGTGGTATTTGATTTCCCCAGAGATGTAATTTCCTGCTTGTGTGATTGGCTCACTGATTTCCCCAGAAGTCTGCACTTAGATACAAGTCAGATTTTAGGCATCGTCTGCAACAAATATTTAGTTGTTGGTGAGGTAGACCCAAAGGGTTAATCACTTCTGAAGTTAATAATGAAAACGTCACTCACATTCAGAATTATTACCCAAAAACTCAAAGTGGAACAAACAGCTATTCCTTTAGAGCAGGACAGGTTGGATCTTGTGGCAAAGTTTTTAAAAAAAAACCTTTTTCTCATCAAATGTGAAGTTACTCTTTAACCAGTTCCCGTCCGGCCGATGTACATAAACGGCCGGACGGGAGCAGTGCAGGAGTGTGTGGCCATTTATAAACATCCTCCCCGCTTCCCTGCCTGTGCGCGCTCCCTCGGAGCGTGCGGCACCGCTATCTGGTGTCCGCTGTGTCCACAGCGGAACACAGCGGAACACCAATCGTGTACGGGACCTCTGTGTAAGGTCCCAATCATATGATTACTGATTGGCCAATCAGTGATCACATGAATAGTAGTAAGCAAGATGTCACTTCTGACATCATTGCTTACTCATAGTGAAATCTGTGAATGATCACAGAGGTCACGTTTTACAAGGCTTGTGACCAATCACAGCTCTCACAGTATTTCTCATGGGCTGCAAGAATGCAGCCAGAAGGAAGGAGAAATAATTGCTTTTACAGCCTTTATGGGTGTAAAAGCAATCAGTATAAAAAAAAAAGCCTTCATCACCCCCCACAAGTAGTACAGTGTCACTATGGTGACACTGTACTACTAGGGTGACACTAAAAAAAAACAAACAAAAACAAATAATAACATACAAAATAAAATAAAAATGTAAATAATTTTGTAGAAAAATTATAAGTTTGGGTTATAAACTAACTTGGGTTATTTTGTTTGTTACTAAAAAGATAGATGACTACATTTTGGCCAAGATTTATGAAGAAAGGCTATTTATTTGCAAAATTTTATAAGAAAAACCCTTTTTTTCAAAATGATTGGACTTTTTAATTTATATAGCAAAACAATAAAAATCCCAGTGGTGAATAAATACCACCAAAATAAAGTTTTATCTGTCTCAAAAACATGCTAAATAATTCATATGGGTACAGTGTTGCATGACCGCGCAATTGTCATTCAAAGTGTGATAGTGCTGAAACTGAAAATTGACCTGGACAGGGAGGGGGTGAAAGTGTCCGGACTTGAAGTGATTAAGGTTGCTTGATTTGAACTCAAAGACACATACAGCAGTTCACTGAGGACATTGCCTTGTGTAAGAATCAAACTCATGACCTTCAGATTATGGGTTTAAGCAGCTGCCAGCTGTACTAATGAAGTAAAACACTGCCACCAGCTGGCCAATCACTGGTGGTTTTATAACTTCAAAACTACTGGTTAGGCATTTTTCAATTTTATTTTTCATTTATTTCACCTGGCAGCAGCTTTTTTTTTTCCATATGGTATAGTGGTGAGGATTCTTGGTTTTTGCCCAGGTTTGGTTATTTGCTTTTTGTCAAAGTGCTCAGCCACAGGACACACCTAATCTGTTTCAGCTTCAAAATCCCTTGGGGGAATTTTTAGAAAACTCCATTAGATCTTTGACCTTTCATTTCATTTGCAATTGCTGCCTTTCCTCTCCAAGGATGAACTGTGAAAAAAAAATGTGGAAGATATTACTGACAAGTGTTACAAGTTCAGCAAAATCAACAACAAATTCAGAAACATTTCTTCTTCAGCTTCCTTCTTTTGAAAACAAAAGACTATGCAATGTCAAAGGTGGCAGCAGGGGTGGACTGACCATTTGGAAACTTGGGCACTGCCCGAGGGCCCGGGGTCAGTAGGGGGCCCTATGAGATGCCCCTGATACCTTTTTCATAGGCTTTTTTGAGTTTGGGCAAGGATACAGGGGCCCTATGATCCCCTATTGCCTGGGGGCCCCATGAGTTGTCAGTCTGCCCCTGGGTGGCAGTCAAATTTTGGAAACAGATATACTGTATATTTAAAAAGTAAATCTATGAGAAAAATACATTTCCCAGTGGTGATACTGCAGGAATGTCACAGAAAATAAAAACTCACTACTGTTCAACCTCACGAGTAATGTAGGCCATAGATGGTTCATTTATCGACCGATTTTTCATCTGAAAAACGAAACATCATTCGTTATCTAAACGGATGTTGCCACCAATGATTTCAAAAGTCAGCCGTTTTTCACAACTTTTCCGGCATGACCGATAAACGAAATGAGGAGGAACCGTGAAAATCGGCCGATGCCATTGCGCCACTAACAGTGCGAAAATCGATTGATTATTCTTTCGGACGAAAAAGCCAATAAACGAACCGTCTATGGCCTGCATAAGAGTGAGTTTCATTTTGCTGATGTTGGAAAGCAATTTTGACAAAAGTTCGATGGATGTGAAATCAATAGCTTCATGGTTTCATGAACTCACAGAAAGCACACTAGCTTCAAATACATCATGTATTACAGTGTTTGTAAAGGCAGAAGTTTTTTTTACCTTAAAGCAGAATTCTTGCCCCCCACAAATGTTGTACTATGCAGTGGGGCTGTGCCCACACTGCGTGGGCTAACTGCTCCTTTTTATCTAGGGGTGATCAGAGCGGAGATATACTTGCCTAATCCGCCAATCCTCTGAGCGCAAGACCCTGTCTCTTCTCACCCCTGCACGATGGCGGTTTTGTGAATGGACTATTCCTGACATCATCACGCCCATAGATTGGGGCAGCAGGAACAGTCACCGGATATGGGGGGAACACCGTTTTTGGGAGATTCGAAAGACTAGGTAAGTATAGCCTTTCAGGGGGTTCCTGGACAAAACAAGCAGTTAACTCATGCAGTGCGGGCACAGCCCCACTACAAGGGACAAAAAAATTGTTTACAAAGAGTTCTGCTTTAATGCATTCACTGCATTAGTGTAAAAAATAAACCTGCGTGTGCAGTTCCCCCCCCAGCCCCTCTTAAATACTTACCTGAGCCCAGTCTCAATTCAGGACCGTGCCCGAGTGCAGAGGTTCTCTCCTCTCTTTCTCCCCACTGGGCATGGAGGCAGCAGCAGAAGCCATTGGCTCTTACTGCTGTCAATCACAGTGTGAGGAGAGAGTCGGGGGTGGTAGTGCCAGGGCCAAGCCACACTGTGTGCATCAATGGATAACCAGAGCCCGGCTCGGCATTGAGCATGCACAAATGTCTCCAAAGCATGCAGCTTGCTATGGGGGCACTCGGAAGGAGAAAGGAACCAGAAGCAGCAGTGGGGGACCCCAGAAGAGGAGGATCGGGGTTGCTCTTTGCACAGGCCAGGTAAGTATAAAATTGATATTTTAAAAATAAAAAATACGTTAATATTCACTTTAACCACTTGTCCTCCTGAGGATTTACCCCCCTTCCTGACCAGGACATTTTATGCGTTACAGTGCTGCGTTACTTTAACAGACAATTGCACGGTCATTCAACGCTGCACCCAAATGAAATTTCCGTCCTTCTTTTCCCATGAATTGAGTTTTGTTACGGTGGTATTTGATCGCTTGTGCATTTTCTATTTTTTGCACTAAAAAAAAAAAAACTGCCGACAATTTTGAGAAAAAAACTATATTTTTGATTTTTTACTATTAAACATGTCCAGTAAAAAAAAAATGTAAAAAAACAAATTTCGTCATAAATTTAGGTCAAATTGTATTCTGCTACATGTTTTTGCTACAAAAAAATCCCAATACGTGTAAATGAATTGGTTTGCGTCAAAGTTTTATCATTTACAAATGGCGGTAGAGATACTGGAATTTTTTTTTTACTAGTAATGGCGGTGATCAGCGACTTATAGGGGGGACTGCAGGACTGCGGTGGGCATTCTGACACTGGGGGGGAACTGACTTGTTGTCACTGACATCCCCAGTGACACCAATACAGTGATCTGTGCTAAACAAAAGCACTGACACTGTACTAATGGCACTGAGCAGGAAGAGGTTAACATGAGGGGCGATAAAAGGTTTAACTGTGCGCTGGGAGTGTTTTACTAGAGGGCTGTGTCAGTGTGCTTTACTGTAATCACACTACTTTGGATGGCTGTGCACAGTAGTGTGCCCGACCTGACAGGGAGGAGAACTGTTAGTAAACAAAACAGTTTCTCCTCCCTGTCAGAGATTGTCAGAAATCACTGGGTAATAACTGACCAGGGACCTGGTGATTGACAGACGCAGACGCGAATGGCTCCCTATGGAAATGCAAAATCATGTATATATATATATATATATATATGTGTGATTTTATGCACCCTTGCCACCCTGTAGCAGTATATCTGCTATAGGGTGGACGTGAAGCAGTTAATCTTAGAAATGTTCCCTTCCCTTGTCGAGCATTTAATAAACAGCATATATTTACAAATGGGAAGTATAGTTTTTTTGTAAGCCCCATTAGCAAGTTGAAGGATTGAAACCAGGTACATTAAAGAGGAACTTCACCATGTTTAGCTAAAATTCAGTTTCAAGTCCCTACTAACTCTTCCTGTATGAAAATATAAAAAATCACACTTACTAGTCCATTGTTGTTCTCTGGAGGTCAAAGTCTTCCCTGCGCTCCTCTTCTCCCATGCTGACATCTTGAATCGAGAAACCCTCCGCAGCTCCCTGCCAGTCTAAGGAACCTGGCATAGACTCATGGCATGAGTGCGCAGGGCTGGTGTGCTGCTCCCTATCATGCATGTACAGACAGAGGTTGGTCTCTACAGGTCCTATAGACAAAAATCTGCAGTAGAAGGCATGAGAAGTAGCAGAAGAGACAATAAAAAAATGATTAAAAAAGAAGGTATTTAAGCTTAAAGTAGAGCTAAAGGCAAAACTTTTTTATTCATTTTGTATAGAGCATGGGAGGGTTATAACTCCTGTCTGTGTTTCCTGTTTTTTGCCACCTCTGTCCCATCATGAAGATTTCCTTTCACTTCCTGTCTCATAGCCAAAACAGGAAATGAGAGCAAATCCCTTCAAAGTGAGGAAATTCCTGGTTGTTACCACAAGACACCAGAATTAGTGCCCTCATTGGGTATATTCATTCCTGTGATAATGGTACTCAAGACAAATAAGGAAGATGATTGTCCCCAATGATAGCACAGACATCCAAAAAAAATTAAAAGGTGTTCTAATCCCTCTCCACTCTTCCAATAATTAAAAAAAGTTTTGCCTTTAGTTATACTTTAACAACTTGCCACCCAGCCTATGGTCAAATGACGGCCGGGTGAACACTTTGTCCCTCCAGGAGCGCGTCATATGACATCCTTCCCGGATTGCGCTTTGCGCGTGCCCGTGAGGCTGCGCTGTGGCGAGATCTGCCACCGGCCGTGCACCTCAGAAACAGCCGATGATAGATCTGTGTACCGGCCCTGTTGCCAGTACCATGTGACCTGCTGTGACCAATCACAGCAGGTCACATGACAGTTGTATACAATGGATGGCTTCCTTTCATGCCATCCATTGTATACAATGTGTCTAGCTGTGAATGATCACAGCGATCACATGCACAGGCTGGGCCAATCACAGCCCATCTGTGTCATGTGATTAGCCATGGCCAATTACAGCTAATCACAACAAGAAAACCCTGAATTAATCGATTTCATTCAGTTAAATGCTTGCTTATAGCAAAGGAATTATTTGCTACAAGCAATTAAATTGTGTTAAATGCTGCTATAGTATACTTTGGTCATAGTGCAATATGAAAAAAAAATCCTACAAAAGAGAAAAAATGTAATTAAAAAAAAAAAAATTCTATTTTTTTCGTACTGTCACCAGTCAGTGTCCCTGATCACTGCCACACCAATTATATGCTGATTCTGTACTGCACTTGTGACAGTATGTAAAAAAAAATTGTGAATATTTTTAATTTCTTCATTTTCTGAAAAATTATGACAAAAAAATTACAACTTCAAAATAATCGCCATGCCTCTTATGAAATACGTCGTACTGACTACTTTGCAAAAAGGGGTCATTTGGGGGATATCTGTACTGTTCTGACATTTTGGGAAATCAAGAAATTAGATTGGCTGTCAGTACTTCAGGATTGATCAATTTTCAGATATATCCCATAGTCTGTGAACTCTATAACTTTCCTACAGACTAAATTATAAATACTGATTTGGGTCATTTTCACCAAAGAAATGTAGTAGAATACATCTTGGCCTAAATTTATGAAGAACAATTATTAATTTGCAAACTTTTATAACAGAAACAAAGAAAAATGTGGGTTTTTTTTTTTTCAAAATCGGTCTTTAGTTTGTTAATTTAGCAAAAAATAAAAACCCCAGCGGTGATTAAATACCACCAAAAGAAAGCTCTAGTTGTGTGAACAAAATGATAAAATTTTAGTTTGGGTACAGTGTTGCATTTGTCATTCAAAGTATGAGAGCGCTGAAACTTGAAAATTGGCCTGGGCAGGAAGGGGGTAAAAGTGCCCGGTATTGAAGTGCTTAACAAAAAATGTGTTGGGGGAGGGGAGTGGAACAGAATACATTTTTTAAACAGGTGAGGGTCCATTTGAAAGTGACTGGTGTTTAGGCCATGTGTGGGTTTAGGATGCAATAGTCAAATGCAAAGATTTTGAAAATAAGGCCATGAAGTGCTGGGCAGACCACACAGCTAAGCTTTGTGGAGCAAAGCATCACGGGTAAATATATAATATTTTAAAATTACGGAGCAAGAGAAGTGGAGGGTAGGATGGCACTATGAGCCATAAATGCATTTATGTTTTAAGGACAAATAACGCTTAGTAGAATCATTTTTACAGTTGGCATAGAAAATGGCAGTTTTGCCAAACATATATTACAACATTTATTAGCACTTTGGAAACAGTTTTCCAAGCCCAGATGTGGTTTTTGGAATATTGCCTAAGATGACTATGATGAGCATGTACCTCTTTCAATGGGCTTATTCATAGGAAGTATGCATTCAGAAAACTCCTGAGCTGTTTCACTGAACCTATGCACTCAGCTTTTGCATTAATGTGTTAATTTCTTCATTCAAGCTCAAGCGAGATATTTTTAATTAATTAAATTTCCTAACAATAGGAATTGCTTTACCCAATAAGAAAGGATTTATATGCAGTGAAACGGGTGTGTGAAAGGCACATCAACACATACACAAAATATTCTGGAGACAGCACTTCTATCATAGGGAGACAGATACAGAGGCTGTTATGTCTACAGCTCATGTTACAATTCCAGCTATTACAGTGTTTCAGCTTGTGTACATGCTTTTCATTTTCATATTCAGCTTGAATGTGAAGATATTCATCTTCACATTCAAACTCTACTATTCAATAATTACTGTATATGAACGGATTATGCAAAAAAAAAATAACATGGATTTAACCATTTGTACCCCCTTCATGCCCAGGCCAATTTTCAGCTTTCAGCACTGTCGCACTTTGAATGACAATTTTTATCTTTTTTTCACACAAATAGAGCTTTCTTTTGGTGGTATTTAATCACCGAGTTTTAAATTTTTTTGATAAATAAATCAAAAAACACCTGAAAGTTTTGAAAAAAAAACCCACATTTTTCTTCATTTCTGTTATAAAATTTTGCAAATAAATAACATTTCTTCATAAATTTAGGTCAACATGTATTTTGCTACACTTCTTTGGTGAAAATAATAATAACTGAATTTGTATTTTTTTTTAAATGTTTCTATTATTTTTTTTATTTTTTATTACATTTTTTCTTTTTTTTTACCATTTTATTTTTCAGCACACTGTGACCAAAGCAATACAATGTAATCATAGTAACATTGAACTACTCTAGGCAAGTGATCAGGATTTTTTTTAACATGCTATGATTGCTAATACCAATGTGCTTCGTTGATATTTGCAATCATTATTACTAAATTAAACTGATTCATTCAGTCTTTTGTTGTGATTAGCTGTGATTGGGCAAAGCTGATCACATGATTCAGATGGGCTGTGATTGGCCCTGTTTGTATCATGTACCTGCCTTGACCAGTCACAGCTAACAACATAATTGTATACAATGGATGGCATGACAGGAAGCCATCCATTGTATACAATTGACATGTGATCTGCTGTGATTGGTCACAGCGGTCACATGACACTGGCAACGGGCCTGTGTAGTGATTCGTCAGATCGCGCCGCTGTGTGGCCCCATGGCCGCTTGAGCCGCTCGTTTTGACAGGATGTCATATGACGGCCAGTCACACGGCGAATGTCCATCAATCTGCTACAGGCCGGGCGGGAAGGTGTTAAACATAAATATTAATATTATTATTCGGGATTTATATAGTGCCAACAATGTGTGAAGAGCTTTACCAAATGAAGGTAGACTGTACAGTTTTAATACAATTCAATGCAAGAGGAATCAGAGGGCCCTGCTAGTTAGAGCTTAGTCTAAAAGGGAGGGTCAAGTGATACAAAGGGTAACAACTGTGGATGAGCTGATGCAGAAAATAAAAGTTTACTTGTTAGGTGCAAGTAGGATAGGCTTCTCTAAAGAGATGAACTTTCAGGGATTGCCTAAAATTGGTTAGAAAATTAGATAGTTGGACAGATTGGGGTACTGATGTAGCTGGTGGCTGAGTTGTGGATGGCTTTTTAAGTTATTAGTATTTTAAACTTTTTTCCTTGGGTGAGTGTAAACCAATGGAGGGGTCAGGAGAGAGGGGTATCAGACACTGAACAGTTGGTATGGTGGATGAGTCTGGCAGCAGCATTCATAATGGACTGAAGGGGGCATCACCTGTGTAGAGGTAAGACAATGAGGAGTGTGTCAAGATGAAAGATAACCAGGGAGTGAATCTGGAGCTTTGTGGCATTGTTAGTTAAGAAGGAATGTATTTTATGTTGCGGAGGCTGAGGCAGCAAGAGTTGGACATTGATTAGATGTGGGCCTGAAAGAAGAATTAAGAGTCCAGGGTTACAACTAGCACCATGACACATGGGGACACCATCAATCTTGACAAAGAAGTCAGGGAAAGGAGCACATGGGGGAGGAAATATTGATTTCGTCCTTTTTTTGTTTAGGCTTTTCTGGGGACCCTGTGGGATACCCTATTTAACAGAAACCTGCCTTTCTTGAACTAGAGATCAAATATACCTTCCCACTTCATCCAGCACTACCACACATATGTTGCAATCCTGTGATAGTTTACTTAGAGGTTTGTAAAGTATGATTGCCATCATAGATTCTAGGTGAGTACTTGTTTGACCAGAAAGGCAGGAAGGTGGCAATTTTTTTG